TGAGTGTATGTAATTTTGCAGGTACGTGGTCCCCGCCGTGTCCGAGCTGTACCGGCAGGCTGGCAGGTCCACGCTGCTGGGCTGGGGCCCACAGGCTGACATGGACACGCGCAGCGGCCCCGCGTTGTTTGAGATGAGTGTAATACTATTTAACCCTCAACAGTACACCTTCCCGGACTGATTAATCTGTACACCTGGGGTCCGCGCAGACCCCAGAACAGTTTTTTGCTATTTTTAGAAATTATCAACATGCTACCAGCTCAATTGTTTTGCAAACTGATGTGGGAACCTCTGTGTCCACATTACATACAAAAATCATACATTTTGAACTTTTTCTATTTTTGGTGAAGAAAAGAAGACAAGAAGAAATACCCGATTTTTAAACCCATTTAAGACTGAAGGGGCTTTTGAGGCCCAACTTTGATCTCAGATAGCGGCTAAACGGCTTGCGCTAGAAGTATCAAATTTGGAGACCTTTCCTAAAATGTCTCTGGAAAAAAGTTCATATTAGTTTAATACTAGTAAGTTTATGTTTTTTTGTGTTGCCATGGCAACGGGTTTCTAGCAGGCAGTTTTTTTGAAAATAGAAGTAATTTTGGTTTAAACATAAAAATTGTCTAAGTTTTATATTAAATTACACTTCTTTTCCAACATTAATAACATCTTACATAATTAAATATAAGTTAAATCATTTAATATGTATAGAATATGCTAATTTCATGACGTCATTGGTCAAAATCCAATATGGCGGACTCTGACGTCATATGACGTCATAATTACACCAAAGTTATTAAAATTTAATTCTATTACTACACCATTCTCTGAAAACTTGGTAGACATACGATGAGTGCATAAAAACATATAAAAACGGAAATAAGGTAATGTATAAGAACGCCAGTGTATCAATTATGATCGAAAGCCGGCTGGGGTCCGCGCGGACCCCAAAAGAAAATCAGATATAATTTTTTTTTATAAATGGTAGAAACGGAGTTTTCTGCACTGTATTGAGAGACAACTTTGTGGGTGACAATTACCTAAAATTTCAGAAAAAAAATCTTTAGAAGCAAAAAAGATATTACAGAATATATAGTGCTGGGGTCCGCGCGGACCCCAGGTGTACTGTTTAGGGTTAATTTTGCAGGTACGTGGTTCCCGCGTTGTTTGAGATGAGTGTATGTAATTTTGCAGGTACGTGGTTCCCGCCATGTCCGAGCTGTACCGGCAGGCGGGCAGGTCCGCGCTGCTGGGCTGGGG